CTGCAACTGTTTGTTATTAAAATTGGGTTTTGTTAACGCGTTTTTTTGTCCTGATTCTTTTATTGGGAGCATTCCCCATGGATCAAGGTCACCGTGACCTTGGGCCATTGAGATTCTCTTCCGCGTTCAGCCCTTCGACATGAAATTTAAATTGACATTAACTCTGGTAATTCAATTAAACCCAATTGTTCGGACAAAATTATTGTAATGAGAATTGAGTTGGCGTGACATTTATTAAATAATTGATTCATTATTGGTATTGGAATGGAGCTATCCCGTACTTTTCATTTATTGTTAGAAAAGGGTGACCGAATTTTTAATAAAAATAACTGTAACTTGTCCAGAGGCGAAGTTGATTGGATTTTAAGCTAGTGTATGGACGGAAAGAGAAAATTTCCTTGAATTCCTCAAAAAATTATTACCGATGTCTCCGAATTTTTTATTTTTTCATTTTTGAGAGACAAAAAAAATATACTATCTTTCAATTTGATAATTATTCGATGACTCACGAATTTTCATAGTCGTGCGTCTACTTTTCTACGATTTCGGCAGAGTTTTGTGAATTTTAGTAAAAGTTTGCTGATCGAGTAGGAAAATTCTTGGACATTACGAAACTCCATAAAACATTAAATAATAATAAACACGATATATATTCTCCCGTCAATTGTATCATCGGTTTCTCAGAAATAAAAGAAAAAAACGCTTGAAAAATGAAAAGATGCCGACAATAACTCCTGACAACATAAACTGGCAAATTTTACTTACGATTTATTCCGGAGATAATCTCAAACGCCGAAAGAACATTTTCCAATGAGTCAACGCAAATGAATTTTTCCAAGATTACGACGCTCGTGATGTTCCGAAAATAGCACGGGATTAACACCCGATGGCCGCAGGTTTTTTCCCTTTATCGGTTTTTTGACAAGCATGTCGATCGTCACGTAGAACCGAAACAGATAAAAAAAGGTGCTAATAGCCCTAGAAGTTAACCAGAAAAAACCAGAATTAGAAAAGTGACTGGATGGGATGTTTGACAGGAAACGAAAGAAGAGGTCTCATACCGATTCGCTATGCGATGGCAGTTATGGGTTCCATCGGTCTAGCCATCATCTACGGGTTCAAGGTGAACGTTAGCATCGCCATCCTCTCGATGGTGAACCATACAGCCCTGAGGAACGTCTCGATGGAGGGTATGGAGGTAATGAGACAATTAATGATGAAGTATGACCGGTTGATAATAATATTGCTTTGAAGGACGGCCCCTTCCTCTGGGACAAGAAGACCCAGGGGCTCATCCACTCGATGTACTTCACCGGATATCTCATCTCCATGATTCCCAGTGGAATCGTCGCGGAAAAAATATCCGCACGTTGGGTAATGAACATTGCGGTGCTTCTCAACGCTATTGCATCAGTCTTGAGTCCCGCGGCTGCTAATTTATCGTTCGGCGTTTTCGCTGGGATGAGATTCATTCAAGGATTGGGCGGAGTAAGTGCTCCATCGATTCATTAGAGAATGCTATAAATAATTAATGAGGATGAAGCTACCAGTGATGGGGAAATTAATTTTTTAATTGAATAATTTTTATATTTAAGGGCGCGAGTTTTCCCGCAATGCATGTTATGATAGCGAAATGGGCGCCCCCGAAGGAACGAAATGTCATAGGATCGATCATCTACGCTGGCACAGCCTTAGGAACAGTGATATCCATCCTTCTGACAGGATTAATTGCCGCAGAGTTGGGGTGGAAAGCTGTTTTTTATATTGAGGGTGGACTCTGCCTCATTTGGTGCACCGTCTGGTGGATTGCCATTCAGGACTCACCTGGGGAGCAAAAGAGATTCATCTCGACGTACGAGAAGGCCTACATCCTCGATGCCCTGGGAACATCAGGGTCTGAACATCACAGCAGCAAAAAAATTCCACTAGGCAGAATATTTACATCGATGCCCTTCATTGCTATTCTCGTCGCACATTTCTGCAGCAACTGCGGGTGGTACATGCTCCTCACGCAATTGCCTACTTATATGAACGAAGTTCTTCATTTTGATTTGAAGACGGTAATTATTTCCTGGACGTGATTTATTATCTCGTTGAATGTCGATTTAAAAAATTATTCACTCGGGCTTTCAGAACGCTGGCCTGTCGTCACTCCCTTATTTCTGCATGTGGATATTCACTCTGATCCTGAGTTACCTCCTGACTAATTTGCAAGGAAAGGGAACCATTAGTATGACAATTTCCAGGAAGATTGGAACTCTTTTTGGTGAGTTCTTGAGTTCTTTAATCTTCAGCGTCGATTTTCAATGCGAGTTTTTACCATTTTGCCATATTTTCCCATTTTTTTCCATTTTTTCAAATTATTGAATATCTGGAAAATCTTTAGCCTCGGTTCCACCAATGGTCTGCCTGGTGCTGGTATCCTACATGACAAATGCCACTGGTGCAGTTGTCGTGATGACAATCGCGGTGACCTGCATCGGAGGTATGTACTGTGGCTTCCTGGCGAATCACATAGATATCGCACCGAATTTCGCAGGGACACTGGTGGCCCTGACCAACGCAGTGGCTACAATACCCGGGATAGTCGTGCCTATCGTCGTAGGATACCTGACGTCCAGCTCCGTAAGAATCCACATAAATCAATAAATCCTCTAAAGTCCCCCGGCAAAATATCTCCAACTTGAGGTGTTTCAGGATCCAGACGTGAAGCTCTTCGCCTGGAAGATGATCTTCTTTGCTACCGCTATTTTCTACGTAATTGAAATCGTCGTTTACTGGGTCTTCGGGACAGCTGTTGAACAGCCCTGGAACAACATCAACAGTTACGATGTCTCAGATGCCACTCAGAGTCTTCCCTTGAAACAGGGCAAAGAATGATCTTCATATTTATTTTATTTTATTTCACCTTGACTGATCTCTTTTATTAATTACGCTGTATTTACAAGATATTTAGAAGTATCAGTGCATCCTCACGATTTTACTGAAATACGTGGGTCCAAAGTTGGATTTTTTCGTGGGTAAAACGACTGTACCATATTTGAATCCAAAGTCTTCAGCGAATTTGTAAATCACTCGCAACGGCCCTAGTCCCTCCTTGATGTCTCTGTAAATAAAAATTAATATTTCGTTGATCTAGATTTTGAAAAAAAAATTGTTAAATCAAAGAGTTATTGATTAATTCCCTAGGAGAAATTTTTGGAAAAATCGAAGATGTTTACAAAATTCTCTTACTTCACAACCATGACAGATCGCGTTTCCTCCCAGTTTTTTTTCAAGGCCATCTGCACAACCCCATCGTTCTGTATTGGACTCAGTGAACACGTGGAATAAACAACAGTGCCACCAACAGGAACAATTTTCAAGGCCTGTTGTAAAATGGATGACTGGTACTCTGGGAGTTGTAGTCGTTCCTTAATTCTCGTGGGGGAAAATATGTTGCTGTCGTCGTTGTGGAGATTGTGGCGATCTGTTGTGCAAGGAACATCCACGAGGATCTGCGCATGAAAAAAATCGTAAAGACCCCAGGACTGCAGTGTTATGAGATTTAATTATACCATACCTTATTGTAGACATTCCTGTCCTCGATGAGTCTAGCATCCTGCTGCGTCACGAAGAGTTTCCCAGTCCAGACATCGAGATCCCCCAGGTATTCGTCCACGACGTCATTAATCATATTCACCCTCTGCATTTTTAAATCATTAGCAACAAGCATCGAGGGTAATAGTGTCTGCAGTGCGATGAGGGATTTTCCCCCAGGTGCTGCACACATGTCGAGGACGACGTCCCCAGGGCGAAGATCGAGGGCGAGTACAGGGAGGACTGAACCCCCATCCATTAAATAATAATCTGGAAAAAAATGAATTCGAATGAAAAGAGAAAAAGCCGAAGAGGCAGTTTAGCGTTAAATCATTTTTTAATTATCCCCTCACCAAATACACCAGTAGATCCTCTCCTGGGTGATGGGAAGGTGCTGTCATTTCCTGCATCAAATGTAAACACCTTGAGATGCTCTGGAAATGAAAAACGCGAATCCTGTTCGACATTTATTTCGAAATCAGCGCTTTTGGAGTAATACCCATAATGCTCGGACTCGAGAACGTAATCCTCGAGGCCTTTGAGCTTCGTAGCAGGTATATACTCATAAAGAGATGATGCTGATATTCCAGTATCAGGTTTGATGATTCTACTCTCGTCAAGCTGTGCAACAGCAAGATCCTCCTCCAGAGGCCTCAGCTGGACAGGTTCAAGAGGTTCCACTTTTGGAGGCAGTCCATCGTCCTCCTGCTCCAGGGCCTTCATCGACGGCTCGTAGTTATCTGGAAAAAGTGTCTTCAACTCAGAATAAGTCTTTTTTTCCAGGACGTCCTCCATGGGAAGACTCATCTTGTAAACAGGTTTTTCCGTCTCCAGGCGCTCCTTCTTTTTGTCCCTCTCAACTTTACTCCTTTTAGACACTTCGTAAAGTTCTTTCAGGTCCATGGCACCTTGTAACTGCAACTTCTGGACAATCTCCTGGGTGTCAGAGAAATTATTGACGACAGCAACGTACTTGTGGCTCTTCTTCAGCATTGCATATCGAATATTCGGCCAGACATCACCATAAACTGTTGCGTAGAAGTCATTGAAGTGCTCCAGGGCTTTGTCCTTCGCTGTTCTCTTCTTCTTCAGGACACTCCAGTGATCTGGGCCGTGTCCTCGACATCTTCTACAGCTCCAGAGGATATTCCTCACTCGCAGAAGGTCAAATCCTTGTCTCATGGCACCACTAATCAACTGGACATGTTGGTGTAAAAAAAAATGAAGAAGACGTCTCAAAACAATCACTGGCACTCCTCCACTGGTTTTCAAATAATCAAAATAATTTAAACTCTCAGGTTAAGACATGTGCACAGTCTGTATTATCTGAATTATCTGAATTATCATCATTATTATCACCACCACCACCACCTCGTCAGTTGATACTGGCATCTACCATCGGGACTAGAAAGCCACATTATTACGACCAAAGAGGATTGACTGAAGTAGAGGCTCACTTCTGGGGGTTTGAGTGACCCCAGTGGCATCGTAGTACTGCACCCCTAGAGAGGGAAGGCGCCACAGGCATTGAATACCAATTTCGTAACGCAGAAAATAACGTTCACCCACTCAACTGGTCCCTCTGACAGCGCGACTGCTACTGAGGCAGCTACCGAGTCGGCTGACGGGTGGGCACCCCACCACCTGGGTGCGACCCCCTCTTTTTTTTGGGGTGAGGTGGGGTGCAATGCCGGTGGGGTCACTCAAGCCCCCACTGGGCGGCTCAGTTCTGGGGGAGTACTTCACCCCAAGAGAAAGAGGGGGCCGCACCCAATGGTGGGGGGTGCCGACCCGTCAGCCGACTCGGTAACTGTCTCAGTAGCAGTCCCGCTGTCAGAGGGGATTTTATTTTCTGAAAATTTTCAATTTTTCAATTTCAGTGAATACCTCCTCAATTTTAATGCTCCCCTGATACTTTTTTGAAAATTTAAAATTTTTCAATTTCAGTGAATGCCTTCTCGACTTCTATGCGCCCCTGATATTTTTTTGAAAATTTTGAATTTTCAAATTTCG